CCCCGCCAAAACTGCAGATAAAGACCAGTGGACACCCGCCCCGCTCCACACACGCGTGTACGTGACGCGCCCGCAAACGGAAACGTTTTTCGCTCACATTGCGTCGCGGATGGTTGAATGTTTCGGACGTTTTCCTTCACCCACAGAATAGTTTCCTCGAAACTAGGAATTTCCGTGAAATTAGACTTGAATCAACTGAGATGACCTAAAATGAACATAACGAAATATTTTCCTTTCTTTATAAGTCTTTGACTCTAAATTTTTTTGTCGTTAAACTAAAAAAAATAAAAATCTTCGGAACAAGAGCAAAATTACGTGTTTTTTTTTAAGAAACTATTTTCCGGGTGTACTTTTACGGGAGCAGTATGACGGAGTTTTGATAATGGAGACGTCAACAGCCCCCTGTACCGCCGTGCGTGATGCTAGCGAGCGTGGCTGCCTTTTATTGCTTTTATTGCCCATTTTGAAAAGAAATCTCCTTCATGATTTACTTTGACGTCTAATTAATTTCGTTGGCGACGAGGAAGACCTCCAAATTGTATTTTGTTTTGCTTTATCGAAATGACGCACTTCGCCTCATCGCGTGAGCACTATGTGGTGACCGCCGACAGGCGATCATTCTCGCCGAGGTTCTGTTTTTCTTCTTTCTCCCTCTCCTCTCACCTTTCGATCGGGAGACAAGCAGAGCTCTTGTTCCTCTTTTATTCGCCTCGTTTGACGCACCACTGCCGCCGTCGGGCGGGTCAGGTCGGCCCGAACAGGTAGAGACCGTTTGCCTGGAAATAACTTGCAGGCGCGCGCGCTGGGTGGGCCTCGCGGCGGTACGGTTTGGACCACGTTAGCGCGGAGTATCGCCGCGTGACCCGTGCGCTGCGCTGGGCGAGCCTCGCCCTGCGGTCCCTGCAGCGCGGTGTATCGTCGCGTGACCTTCACCTTAATTCAATATGGGGCTAAGTGAATGAGTGGCGTGGCCTGGCGTGGCTGAGCCGGGCGGGCTGAGCTGCGCTGCTGAGTCGCTCCCGGCCGCACTCCGAACGCCACCACCCGCGGTTCCCTCACGGCGAGATAGACGGACTGCGAGGCGGGATGCGGGGCGTCATTTGTTTTCGAACGCGGCCAATCAGAGAGGCGAGCTGCCGCTGCGGGGCCCACCCGCAAATAGACGAAGTGCGCAGGTCGGACGGGGTCGCCGGTCGCCGCGGCCGGACTGCAGCGGGGCGAGCGGAAACGGCATTGTCGCCCCAAATGGCATTTGGTCTTTTATCGTCCTTTCCGACGCAGTGGTGCTGCCGATTGCTGCAATATCTCTAGACCCTCAGTCGCAAGGGAGTCCTTGAGGCGGAAACACTTCCACGGCGGCGTAACCTCGTTCCCGAATCTCGACAATCCTTCGAGACACTGGCAGGAAAGAGACTGGCGTAGCCCGCCGGCAAGCGCGACACAACTGCCTTTAATCGTGAATTAAACTGGTCGTTCTCATTGTTCCAGCGTGGCTGACGCGACGACGGCCGGCTTCTGGAGCCGGCGCCTAGAGGAGGGTGGATCGCCACCGGCGGAGGACGCCAGCCTCGACACCACCCTGCCCGGAGGACCGCTCCACCCCAAGTGTCTCCGTCGCGGTCCTGGCACCGGCCCGGGGCCCCCTTACAGCGGCTCGTACCGCAAGTTCGTCAACCACCTGGTGCGGTCCAACTTCTCGGACAATCTCAATGACGACTCGTCGTTCGTGGGAGTGGAGGCGGACGCGCCGAGGGCGCCCGCCCTGGACTGCATCCTGGACGACGTCCTGGCGGAGGAGAGGGACGTGGTGGTGCGCCCCCTCCGACCCCCAAGGCCGCCGCCGCGGTTGGGCCAGCACAGGGCGGGCCGGGCCCGGGGGAGCAGTGCGCTCTGGAGCGGCTGGGCCCCGAGCCTGACGAGCATCAGTGCGAGCGCACCGCTGTGCCTGTGCCTGGGCCCCGAGCAGCTCGCCGAGCAGCAGACGCCCCCGACTCCTCCACCTACTCCCGAGCGGCCGCCGCGACTCGCACCGCGCAGGCCCCCCGGCCACCCCGCCCCGC